AACCTCTTGGGGTGTAGCTTCATCTGGTATTTCAGGGTCACGGGGCTCCCCTCACGAGGCTCATGAGAGGGGATGGCGCTCAGCACAGGAGGCGGGAACAGCTCTGGGGAGAGAGGCCAGGGCTCAGGAGGGGAGTCCTGGACAGTGAGGCCCCAGGAGCCTGAGGCTGAGCTCTGGCACATCCCAGACCAGGGCCCTGTGCCCTGTGGGAAACGCTGGCACTGTCTCCCAGCACCCGGCCTCTCACCCCGCCACCAGCTCTGAAATGACCCCCACATCCCTGAGGCCCACTGGGGTCCCAGAAGGCCAGAGCCAGAAGGGCCCCCGAGGTCACCTAGTCCCCAGAGGGGAAGCGTCAGGCCCAGGGCCTCAAGGAGGGTGGGCAGCAGGGAGCTTTCTGGGCTCTTCCCCGCCCCCACCCCAGGGCATCTCCCCTCCTTCTCTGGCTCCAGACGAGCTTCATGGTGGGAGCAGGGCGTGTGGCCGGCATCCTGGATGTCTCAGGGCCTGCAGATTGGCCCAGCATCAGGGGCCACCAGAAATAGGGGGCTGCCCAGAGCACTGCTGACCTCTGTACACTGGACCCCTGAGCAGCAGCCTGCTCTCCCCAGCTCCCCAAGTGGTGACTCACCTTGGACTTGGACCATGACAGTCCCTGAGGCCCATTTGTTCACATGTCGGCCGGAGGTCACCTGCCCAGCACAGCTGTACCGGCCACTGCTCTTCACTGTTGCCGTCCCCGTGGACAGAGGCTGGTTGTCCTTAGAGAAACGGAGGAGTTTCCTGTCCCTGTGGAACTTCACCTGGGACAGGGCTGCGTTCCTCCTTCCCTGGCATTGCTGAGTCAGGACATCTCCTTCAAACACGGGGTCTGGCCAGACTTGGAGGCTCAGCCAGGCTGTGAGACACAGGAACAGGGTCACCCTGGAGCTGCAGGTCATCAATCCATTGCTCCCTCTGTCCCCCAGCCCAAGGCCTCCCCCGGGATGGAGGCTCCTGGACGGCACCTTCGCAGTGGTCACTGACCCTGGTCCTTCACGCCAGACCAGGGCAGGACCTCTGCTTTCCTCTACCCACTTCCTTTCCTCTTCCTCTTCCTTTTCCCTGCTTCTTCTTCACTACCTTTCCCCCTTCCTTGTCTCTTTTCCTCTCTCCCTGACCCTGCTATATATTGCCTTTTCCTCTTCCCTTGATATATTTAGTCCCAGCTGGAATCTTTCCAACTGCTTAGCTGTCTTATTCTTCCTACAGAGATTCTCATTTTTCACATCTCACATCCTTCTGTGGTCCAGGCTGACCCAATAGCCCCTACTTCCAGTGATTGCTCCAGGCCCAGACCTTGCCAGATTCCAGAGGTGTGGACACATAACATAAAGTGATTCTCTTCTACCTTCCTCCTAGAGGCTGTTCCAGGCCCGAACTCCATCAATGTCCCGTGCCCAGGAGGGTATGAGTGATGCTAAGGAGGTAGAATCTTAAAGCTATATATATCAGCAAAAGAGTGAAAACCACTAATATTTTTATTAATAAGAGACTGGTTAAATAATTATGGTCCAACCACATTATGAAACATAATGTAGCCATAAGAAAGAGGTAGGTCCATAGATACCAAGTGGAATGAGTTCCAAGATAAAGTGTTAGTGAGAGAAAATTAAGAGCAATATGTGGATCCACATGGACAGTGAAACTCCACTTGTATATGGAGAGATTTACACACATGGTCACACATTTATGTGTCTGCATAGGCATATGCAATTTTTAAAATACAACAGGTAGACTGAGTGAGTTGTGGGTTAAATCTGGGGAAAAAGCAGTTTTCACAATGTACTTCTTCATTCTTCAAAAATTTTTTCTATTTTTTTATCACATTCTCATATCGTTTTTAGTAAAAAGGTAAAATAAAATAAGATTCTAACCTTCTTTATTTCCCCATACACCTTTCCATAAACTTCTTCTACTTGAAGGTACCTGGGTAGGGATCCACCTCCTGCAGCTAAAGATCCTAAGGAACTGAGTTTCTCGGTGCGCAAGGAGGATGCTCAGGAGGAAGCGAGGAGCGGAATCAGGCGATCGCAGCCTAGGCAGAGTAGGATGGGGAGATGACGAGACTGACAACGGATGTTAGGCGTGCAGTTTTGTTGGTGGCAGGAGACGAGAGACACAAATCATGGCTGGACCCGTGTCTTTGGAGTCATAGGTCAAGTAGTGTTGGAAGACACGTGCGGTCAGCAGATGCAGTCTTCACTCAGGGACGAAGAAGAAGGGTTTTCTGCTGAAGGTTGGTTGTGGCCTTGCTCTCCCTCCCACTCTTTCTCTCTCCAGCTACGGGAGAGATGCACTGCATTCTGTTTGAGGAGCTCCCGGTAGAGCCTACGGCTCTCACAACATCCTACAGCTACTGCTGGCAGGGCTAGGACTTCAGCTGGTGGAGAAACCTGGTGTGAAAGGGAGAAAACGGCTGAAAAAGAAAACAGAAAGTGCTCAGGCCCGGATGTTCGGCACTGGGTGCTGGGGCGGAGGGGGAGGTTCAGAGCCACTCACGGGAGGGACGAGAGCCTGGGATCCCTGGTGCCTTCGGACCTGGCCTATGGCTCAGCACTGACAGGAACAAAAGCTCCAGCTCAGCACTGGAGAGTCAGCCTCACTGACTGATCCAGAGTCAGGGGCTGGAGCCGCCTCAGCCAGACAGCTGTCCTCTCCGCCAGACATTTCCAGGCTGGGTGGTCAGATGGGGACGTGAACACAGGCACACACACAGAACCGGCAGGGACGAGAACCTAAGGATGCACCTGTCAACTGAAATAAAATCACGCAATGTGAGAGTTGTGAGTTAAGCTTTATTTGGGGGCAAAATAATGACTATATTCCGAGAGATGGCATTTTAAATAGCTCTGAGGAACTGCTCCAAACAGGTAGTGGGGAACTCAGAATTATATACGATTTCAGTGAAGGGAGTGCGTGCAGCCAAGCACACATTTAGGCAGAGGCTCGCTGCTAGTCATAAGGAGCAGATGCCACCATTAACAATTTTAGTGCTTTTCTAGATATGAGGAGACGCAAAAATCATGGCTCATAAAATCTCCTGAAAATAGCTCTCTGAAGGCCTGTTCTGCAAGTTTTCCCCAGAGCACGGAAAGTTTTCCCTAGATCCTCATTCCTGACCTGCACCCTGAACTCCTTTCAGGCAGTGATGGAGGTCAGCGCATGCAGCGGCTCGTGATTTAATCCAAGCAGAGGAAGATGGCAAGCAGCAATGTGATTCAGTCCTTGTAGGGGCAGGTGGCAAGTGCCAATTTTTAGTTGGCACACCAAACTTCCCATCACAGGGATCCGCACTGGAGAAAATTGACGGGAGTTAGATTCGATAATAAGGACTTCCTGACAGAGGAATTAAACATGGGAATGGCGGGGACAGGTTGAGTAAGCCCCCTTACTCCTTCCTACACAGATTTGGAATGTGCCAGCCCCACTGTTCCCCTGCCCCCATATGCTAGTAGTTCCTGTTAAGCTTCCTGGGAACATTCCTGCACAGCATCTGGCCATCCTGGTTTTAAGGCCTTCATGGAGCTAGCCCATGGCTTATCTCTTCCCACTCTCTGTCTTCCCTGCTTCAGGGGGAACGAGGAGAGGAAGTCAGATGGGACTTCAGCAGCAGCTGTCTCATCGTCTAAGGAGTAGCAGGCAGGACAAGGCTTGGGGTGGAGGTGGGGACTCTAGGAAGGAGAACTTGGCTTTGGTGTCAATTATGGGAGCAGACATGGATCTTCATACAGGTCACCAGATCTGATGAGGTGGATCTCAGCAAGTGGAAAGGACTCCTAATCTCTTAGGAGCCTGGCTCCACCTTGGCGGAGGTAAACGGACAGTTGTAACCTGGGCGACAAGCTAGGTAGCATTCAGAAAGACCAGCAACTCAGAAGGGAGGCAGCTTAAATTGTATCTTATAAGATGGAATCCTGGTACTTTTTAAAGTTTCCCTTTTGTTTACTCTAGTCTTTAGTAAACAGTTGTCTAAAGGTTTCGGCCCATCTCAGCCATTTGCTGAAGAAGCAGCAGAGCTCCCCAAAGCCCAGCCTGGCGGTGGAAACCAAGGAGAGCCCTCCAAAAGAGAACTTCAAAGCAGAGAGAACCTCAGGTCTGTGGCCCAGCTGGCCGGCCCCTCAAGACACCCTTGTTCCAGGCTCAGCTTCGGTGGTTCTGAGTTTTGTTATTATCACAGAAAGCAGTGTTTCCTTGTAAAAATGTAGACTGAGCAATAACTAAATTCTCTTCCCTTGCAGGAAGGAGGCCTTCTCCCACTCCGAACCATCTTTTCCCCAAGCTGACCCCAGAAGATATTTCATTTTTTTTTGTAGGACTTTATAATTTTTTATAAACAGCTTTACTGTTGTGTACTTTCTGTACAGTAAACCACACATATTTCAGATATACAATTTGATGAGTTTTGATAGATGTATAGACCTATGAAACCCCCACTGCCATAATCAACATACTTCATTTGTTTTTGATTTTTAGGGACAGAGGATTCATTTATGCTTATATATCACGAGGCACTGCGTGAGCCTGGTATGTCACAAAATGGGTCCCTTCAGTGCTTCCTTTTAACTTCTATCTGGTCTTTGAACTCTGAGTTTGTGGCTTACTTAGCATGGCTATGAGTTGAAAACCGTGCAAAACTGGCGTAGGCAGGAGGAAGTTGTAATACTGGTGCAAACCAGGAGTAGAAGGCTACCTACCTGGTAAAGTTGTGTTGTGTTGGAGAAGCCCCTCTCAGTCATCTCTCTCTGGGGCCCCACCCACCGCCCAGCCTCCTTAAGTGAAATTCCTCTTTCTTTTCATCTGTCACCACCTTCCCCAAGTTCTTCTTTAATATGCAAATACTGCCCGGGGGAGATAAGAGGAAACCACAACACATCTCTGTTTAAAAAACTGTTCTCTTATGTTTGTAAATGTTCAGAAAAAATGTAAATCTCCTTGGGTAAGCAGGCTTAGATGAAGCTATGAGCTCATTTTGGTCAATGTGCGCACTTAAGCATTTAAAGGAAAGAGCTTTAAATCAATCTCAGCTTCCAAGGCCAGGAGTTAAGCCTCAAAGTACAGTAGCCAAAAGATATTTTATTGACTGGAAGAGACCCTCACGGGACTCTTTACCATGAATGACCTAGAGAAAATAACATAAAGCAATCTTTTCTACTCCAATCTAACTCAACAAAGATTTATTTAATTCTGCTGTATGTAGGGCACTGTGCTAGGTGAAACTGGGGACACAAAATTGCATATGAGTCCTCATTCCCAAACAGTCTGGCCATGTAGGACAAAATATATATGGAGACAAAAAGCAAAGTATCAGCGTCCTGGGAGAGTTCAGTGAAGGGAGAGAGCCCACCCATTTGGAGGACTCAATGGAAATCGAAAACGAATTTGGAGGCAGCTGTAAGTAAAACAAATTATATGTGAAGGAACTGACAGAAACAAAGGCACAGAGATGGGAAATCACAGGATATTTTAGGAAACATCAGACGGTCAGGTCTAGGTGGAGCATTGGGTAGGAGTGGAGAGTCAGTGGAAAAGAAAGATGGGAGAGAAAATTAGGACCCTCTGAGCAAGACCAAGTCAAAGGATGTTTAGGGCCAATCTGCAACTTGAATCTTCTGTTCTTTCCCATTTCTGCTTCTGACAGCTTATCCCTAGAACAGTGGTTCCTGGGCACACTTCCAGGATGGGCTTCTGGGGCACAGACGTCTCTCCACAATCAGCTGAGTCTTTGGTTCTACTCTTAGAAACACTCACCTTCTCACGTGGCTCAGTGTTCTGTCAGCTGGTCTTCCCAGCCTTTTCCCATTTGCTCTATCCCTAACCCCCTCCACCAGCCTTGGTACCTCTCACCCTCTTGTCCTTTCAGCCATGGCTACCTTTGTTCCCTCTTGAAAGTGACTAGTGA